TGCACACATAAGCACATTTTTCTTAAAGTGCGTAGCCAGTATCGGGATTCCTCGGCATAGGTACGTTCGTCTTCATGTACCTGGGCAGTTACTGCCAAATCCTTATACAAAGTAGTTTCAAATGTTTACCCCACCAGAGCAATTTATCTTGTACTCCATTTCATCAGTGACCTTTGCTATTGTTAGACATTTTCATGTTTTCTAATCTGCTGTAAAATATTTCGTACTGGTTTTCATTTGCATTTTCTTGGTTACTAATGAAGTTAAGCTTAATATGCTTATTTATCCCCTCTGTTCCGTCTTCTTGGAAATTCCAAGAAGTTCTTGTAGTCTTTGGGCATATCTTTTCATTATGTTGGGGTTTTATTGTTTGTAGCAGTTCTTTGGATAGTAATTGTTTGTTAGTAGCCTGTGTTGCAGTATCTCCTGCCAGTGTGTGACTGTCTTTTCTTTCTCTTTAAGGTGATGAATAGAAGGCCTTACTTCTAATGCTTCTAATGTAATTGAACTTATCAATCTTTACCTATTTGGTTTCACTTCTGTCTTTTAAAAAAATTTCTCTATCTTACGATCCTAAAGACATTCTCTTTTATTTTCTTCTAAATGCTTTAAAGTTTGCCTTTGAGTGTTATGTGTATTGTGCAGGTAGAGATATTGTTAGGTCACATAAAAATTGACTCTCGATTTATTATTTCAGAACCATTGTTTGTGTCAAATGAGCGTGATTTTTCGAGTGTCACATTTGCAGTTGATCATTTCACATTTTCCTGGACCTCTCAGTTTGCTCAGATTGGCATCTTGAAATGTTCCAGAAATACTGTGTTCAGAATATGTTATAAAATGCAAGTAATTCATTCCAAGCAATACTGCTTCTTATTTGAATAAGAAAAGATTGATATTCCACCCATGGTAATACTAATATGTATTAAACTTGGCTGAGAAAATGTCTTTACAAAATGAGCCAATAACCGGAAATATTTTAAAAGATGGTAATTCAGTTTCCAGAAAGTTAAAGGAGAAGATAATCATTCATTCTCACATATTCAGGAAACGGTGTGATATTTCTTTTGGCAAACCTAACTTTTGATCCACACCATTCATTGTTAATTGGTTGATGGTAGTACAGTTTTGATTCAAGTTGGGGTGTGGGGGGGGGTGCAGTGTGAAATAAAGCTAATAAAATGTAGGACTCTATGCAATTGTATTATTAAGAACATAAGCCATTTTTTTAGAGAGGCCGTCATCATGTGGAGAAGTTTCTCTTATTTCCTTTATTTGAAAAAGTCCATATACTTGAGCCTTTAACTCTAGAAAGACAGTGTCTTATTCTGCCATTCCCTTTCCTCTTTAATTCACACTATTCATTTATTTTGCAGATATTTATTGAGAACCTGTATTTTGCAAACTAGTCTATGCTCAACTATTTGAGCATAACTGTATCAGAATTCAGGGGCTAAAAGAATTCCAAGATCATTTATACTAATCCCTACTTTTCACAAATTAAAGAAACTGAGATCCAGAAAGGTGCAGCCACCTGACCAAAATCCCGATGTGGTAGAGTATAAATGAAGATCTCTTGACCCCAGATTCAGAATTCCCCCTGTTGAACTATGTTGTCGACAACGGCTGTCTGAAAATCTACCTGAATCCTAAATATTGACACACGTTTATAACAATTCCTAAAGGGATAAATCATTGTTTGTGAAAAAAATTATACTACATAGTTTTTTGCTTTCGAGATGCTTATAAAATTTTTAAAATGAAAAGGCACATTTGGAAAAAAATTGAGAAAGTTAAAAGTGTAACTAAAAGCTTCCTGAGGGCAACAATCATGCATTAGCTTTATCAGATTTGTTATATTTCCTTAACACACTGAGCTGTTCAGAGGATGTATTCAACAGATACTGATTGAATGCATAAAACTATATATTGAAATATAAGGTGCAGACATCAGGTATTTTAGATGATCAGAGAAAAGGAAAATCAGCCTGAAGATGGAAAGACAAAAAAAAACCCACAACTCTTCATGGAATATTTAGAATTTAAAGGGGGCTATAAGGTATGATTGCATTTTAATTAAACAGAGAGGAACTCCCAAGTTTCAAGCTACTTGTTTAGCTCACTCTCTATTAAGACTGTAGATACAGGTTTTCTGAGTTATTTACTTTCAGATTTAACCTGTAAGCATGAATTCTTGGAATAACCATGTGCATGAAAAAATAATGTGTAAATATGCTAAGATATATGAATAAGAATATTAATTGTTGTGTTGTTTATAACAGCATTAAAAAATGGAACCAAGCCAAATATCCATCAGTGGATTAATGCTTAGTATATCAAAATTAAAATTAATAATGAAAGTAGATTTATATTTTCAGAGACATTGCTAATATTTTATGGAGTGAAAACATCAAGCTGCAAATTATATAGAGAGAATTACTTCATTTTTATAAAAAGATATGAAAGTACAAATAATGTAAAGTAGGGTAATGGACATTTTTATTTTCTTTGCACTTTATAGAATTTATAAAACGTCTTAAAATAAATATTTATTATTTATAAAAGTGATTAAACTTTTTTTGGTTGTGGAGAGAACTCTAAATTGACTTTGTAAACTTACCAGGGATATGAAAGCTGTAGAATAATATCTCCATTCATTGATGTATTTTATTGAGCACCTATTATGTACTAGGCACTAAGAGCAAAAGAGTCTAAATCTAAGCTCTTGACTTTAGAAGAAGATGGGAATCATATATGGAGCACCAATCATATATGGAGAATTCTTTCAGACTTCACTTCAGAGGGGTCCTTTTGTCCTACGCTATTTTTAAAAAATTAAATTGACCTCTGTGTTCTGGTTGTACAGTGTCTAGAGGACAAACCAAATCATACAGGTTTTTCCATGTCTGACTTTTAATTGAAATAATTCAATTCTCTGTTTGGCTAGGAGAAAAAGCCACTCTTAAGACACTTAGGCCGGCGGAAAATGTTTACTGTGTCCTGAGTTGGCATGGGAAACTTACACGTGCATTAATTACACTTTCACTCTGCCCCATGTCATTTCAGCCTGTGGAATATAGCTGTAGGTATTAGTTACACGTCACAGTAGCTGTGTCCGTCTCCGTGACACGGGGGCAGCGTTCCCGCCGGCGCCTCGCCTTCCTGCCGGGCGCGGCCCCTGCACTCGGCTGCTCGGGGAGAGGCGGCCCGTGTCCCAGGGCTGGTGGCAGCCACCCGTGCGAATGACATGCAGTCACGAGGCCGAGGAGGATCCTGTGGGGCGTTATTTTTATTAACCTGTACCGCTAAGCATGGCTGCGGGCTTTTTGAAATACTCATAATCTAAAAAACATACTCAATGTTTGGGGATTTTTAATTGGTTATTTCTTTAAATTAAAGAAGCTATTAGCAGTTCCTTTAAATTAAAGAAACTATTAGCAGGAGCTTTTTTGGTAGTTTATGCAGTATTAGCAGCTAATATTAATAGTTTCCAAATGTTTTGTGAGAATTTACAAGCATTTTCACTTACAACACCTCATTTAATCTTTAAATCACCTCTAAGGCAGATATTATTATGTCAGTTTTCCAGGTGAGAGGGCATACATCCAGAGAGGTTAAATGACTTGCCTAAAGTCACATAGCTAATAAGAAATAGACCTGGATATTCAAATCTGTGTCCTGGCTTCAAGTCCCGTTCCCTTTCAGCTGTACCAGGCTGCAGCGACGACCCCTATGCCTTTGAAGTTAGAAATATTACTAAGTATTGCTGGGCTGACTCGGCCTAGTCATAGTAGCCCTTGAAGCCACCTCTAATTGTGAATATTAAGCCTTTTTATTTAGGTTCCATGGAGAACCACTGACAAGGTTTATACAAGGGTGTAAACATGTGTTTCTAAGCTGCCTTTCTGACTGAGCTGCTACCCTCCAGCTTTTTAAGTTTTTTTAAACTGTTTTTTTTCCCAGTTGTGTTGTTTTATTTTATTTTTGAACAGCTACTTTTAATTTTTTGATTACAGTGTGTATTCAACACTATTTTGTATTAGCTTCAGATATCTAATGAACAAAATAAACTGTTGATCAAAATAGATAGATCCAGAGACATAGAAGCATGGAACAGACTGAGGAATCTCAGAGGGAAGGCGGGGGTGGGTGGGGAGAGATTAACCAAAGGACTTACATGCATATTTGCATAACCCGTGGACACAGACAATAGTGGGGTGAAGGCCTGGGGCGGGGGGCAAGTGCTGGGGAGAAGGGGTCAATGGGGGGAAAAGGGGGACATCTGTAATACTTAACAATAAAGATAAATTTTTTAAAAATAGCTGTTCAGCAGACTTACAGATACAGAGAAATTATGGAGGTAACAGAGGAGGGGGGTTGGGGGTCAGAGTGAAATAGCTGCTGAGATTAGGAGGTGATAATTGATAGTTACAAAATAGGCTTAGTGGTCAGTCCACTGATGTGGTACCTGCAGACTGACGCTGAATAAAGTTTAGCTGCTAGGTGAAGATCTGTAGATTTAGTACATGAATGTGGATCACCTTCTGCTAAGATGTGAAGTCATTGCTAGTTATATACACACTTCTAATCAGACCGCTAAAGGAAATTCATGGGGCTACAACTTCCTACTGTTGAGATTAAAATGCATGTTAACAGGTAGAATTTAAGGATCTAAGGAAAATGAAAATTGGGATAGAATTATTGAAGAATGGCTTGAGAAACCACCTATATCTTGCCATAGAAATACATAGAGAACAGAGCTAATTTTTTTTTACCTTAATCATGAGTATTATTGTAGGCCCTTGAATTTTTGTGACCTCAGAATAGTGACAGATTAATTCTAAAGCAGTTAAAGTCATGAAATTCCCTTCATCTCTCTCTCTTTATGGTCTAAAACCAATTCTGAAGCAGGATTTAACTGTTATTTTAGTTACATGTCTCTTAGTTTTATTTTATATGGATTTTTTAATGAAATTCTCATGATTTCCTTTTTCCTCTAGGCTTGATCTTCCACTACCCGAGACGCAGAAAAAGGAGCCCAGCTCAGCTGACAACTTGTCTTTAGAAACTCTCAGAAACAGTAGTTCAGAAGACCTCTTTGATGAGATTTAACTGTCTCAGAAAAGCCCTTTGATGTTCACTAGACTATGTTTTCTATTCATTTCTTTAAACTGAAAAAAGCGAAATTTCTACCCAGCAGCAGCTCTTGCCTCAGCTTAGGATTTAATTACAGACAGAGCTGAAGCCACTGTGCACGGTGGCTCACACGTGGCCGTGAGCGTGCGACTCGGTGGCAGTGGTGGGCGATTCTACAGCATTCATTCGGCCCGCCTGTGGTCACATGAAACCTCACTTGTTGCAAAGGACACGTTTGTCGTACTCCGTTCACACGTATTGTGTGGTAGCTGTCTAACAGCCTGCCGAGGGGGATGTTGGAAATACGACAAAATGTGTACAGTTCTTTGTTTTTTTAATAGTCATGTTCAGAGCAGTTATGTCTGAGCGTTTTAATTTGTGGAATGGTGTATAAACCTATTTTCAGTTTGTACACAAACAACCTGAAAAGCTGATGATACAGTTTCTGATGCATTAAAGATTTTGTGTTCTTAATAAAATATGTAACTTAGCTTGACTTCTTCCTTTACTCTACTAACAGGTCTTCATCCAGTGCTTACTAGTGTAACACCTTTTATATTAAGAAAGCATTTTTGGGAGACTGATAAAATATTTGTTTTATAGGTATGAGAACCCTCTTTGGCAGCAAGGATCTTGTCCTATTCACATGTCATATTCACGTCAGTGACATCTGGCACAACTTTTTAAAAATATTCAGTTTCTATTTCCTAATCTCTCACTTCACCTTCCTTCTCTCCAGTTGCACATCCATTCCCTTCGTGCTAACTGAAAGTTAAGAATGACCCCTTAAATGCAGCAATTTCTACAACAAAAGGAAACAAATAAAACATGTTAAAAAGAGAAACAAAAAAGAATGACACCCCTCC